TATCTATTTTAAGTCTGCGTTTATTTATTAATTACCTACAAAATACAATTTAATTAAGTATATCATATGATCTACATAATATAAATAATGACATTATAAATTTACTTAGATTGGACACTACATCGCACATTGGATGGCAATGCTTGGTCACCGGTGACCTACGCAGCAGTTAACGTGTTAACATTTGACCAAGGTTGTTGTAACCAGCCTTTCAATCATCTGAAATATCAACCATCCTCTTTACAATATAAAGAAGAATATGTGCACTTGGACCCCAAGACCCTAAAATTTCAACGCTAAACAGTTCGAAAGCATAATTCCCAATCAGGCTATTATTCTTTCGCCGCTTGAGGTTCTCGGTAGCGGCAGCGGCAGTACCGGCTCGACACAATCAGCTTGAAATATGGATGGCGCGAGAGAATCATTACGTCCTATTGTCTTTTGTTTTTTAAATGTGCTGCTTTTTACCATAATGAGATTTAATTCAACTTAGTCAACTGTGGCACTAAATTTAAATATAAGGAAGGTAGCTTTGCATTGTTGATGATTGTTTGATTAACATGATTTGCGCAAATATAGTTTAGCGTATTTCTTCATATCAATCTGTGTATGTACTGTGTGTAAATCTATAGTAGCCAGGCGCCCAATCGTTGGTTCAAGAGGCGGTGTCCGCCTTTTTTTCAATATCTCTGTAGTATGTACAATAAATGTATGAAACGGTGAAACCGATAAACTTCTGGCGCGACACGACATACGGATCTTGGTCAAGAGATTTCCGGCAGGATTGTGACATTGACATTTGTTTTTATTTAGATTCTGTTTCTGTCATTTTGATGAAATCCTATGTACTTATATAGCTGTGTTCAGTGCGATGATGGTGGCTATAGCATTATATTGAAGAGTATTATTGTTTTTTGTTTGACGTGTGTAGGGTTTTCATTCACATTTTGTTGAAATAGAGTCATGTTTCTATGGTCTAAAACCATAACATGAGTAAATAATGTAATGTAAGGTGAACAAAACTAAATCATATAGCTAACGATAACGATAAACAAGCTCGTATCAAATAAAAATTTATTGAATTGTTATGTATTGAACAATCATTAAAATTATTGAATAATTTCATAGCTGGATGATGTGAATGCTGAATTATTAGTGGTATTATTATAAGTTGCAGAAATGTGTGACAGACATGAGTGCTGAACTAACTAGATGTAAAAGCTCGTTTTCTAGAGTGAGTTCGGAACAACTAGATTTATTGCTATCGTTTATGGAAGAGCACCCTGCCTTTGCTGCCGGCAAACAATCGATTTACTCTCGGTTCAGCTCCAGCAAGTTGTGGCGTCTTCTGGCAGAACGTTTGAACGCGGCAGCCGTTGACAGTGGTGGAGCACGCAAGTCGCCCGACAAGTGGTGCCGGGTCAGACAATTACTTTATTTTTACATGTTGTAAATCTTACCTTTACTCATATTTTGTCACATTCCCATTTATAATATTAGTAGGACTCTTTTTCTCTATACATATAAGTCCATTATTTGGAAAGTAAACAAAGTTATGTAGGTATATTTGTTTTTGAAATTAAATATTTAGTGAAATTTTACATAAAAGTATGCCATAAGGGCTTAAAGTTTTTATGGGACTTGCATTATTTTCGATTTGAGGAACATTAAACTTTGTATTTAGGCTAATGATATATAGCTATATAGTTCAGGGATTTTGAAAATTTTACTTTCTTCAACTACTTATTGATGCAGCTACACGACGTGACGGAACCTCGCTGAACTATGCATGACTCAGCCGTGGAGGGCGTCCTCACTCTCACTATGTTTAAAGGATGAAAAAGTTTCAAATTTTATTGTATATCCAACTTCTATGCCTCAGGCGACAGTTTGTTTGTTAGACCTTTACTGAGTTTCATGTAAATAGATTAAGTAGTTTCCATGAGTTATGCTTGCAACCTTCTTAAGTTGACTTCAATAATACAACACTAAAGAAGTAGTTGTACTGCGGCAGCAACTGCTCAACTGATTGGCTGTGACGATATTCGCACACATTGATGGCATATACTATAGGCAGTATTGCAGTAGATAATTATCAGAAAACTGATTATCATCATCATTTTATGCAATATTTGGTTACAGTACTGGGCTGACATAAAATACAAAGCCCGTAAGAAGTCAGCTGCAGGCGGGGCGCTGGGAGATCTCTCTAGTGCAGAGGAACGCTTACAGAATATATTCAACAGCAGTGGTCGCGAATGTGAGTATAATAAATATGAATTTGTTATTAAAAAATATTTAAAAAGTATTAAACTGTCCAACACCAAGCAGTCACCGGTGACTGCAACCTATTTTTCTTTAATTGTATCTATAATGACAGTACTCCACGAGTTAAAAAGCAAATTTACTTCCATGTATTTCGTCATATAAACACTTCCAGCAGTAGCTGTGATTGCTTGGGCTCGCTGTCATTACAGTGGTAAATTCCCTCTTTGAGGAGTGGCTTGAGAGACGCTATGGCGTCCTGACCTACCGCCTGACGCAGGTGCTCAGGGATGTGATCGGCGACGCCGACCTCTCGTGTTCAGCCCTAGTCCGGGCCATGATGCGGAGCGAGGAGGACTGGGATGCTGTCTCCTCCTTTTGCGAAGCAGTCATGCTAGCTAAAGAGTAGGCGGGGTGTGTAAGGGCTGAGGCAGAGGTCAACATCCTTCTCACAGCCCAACCGTCACGAAGGTCACTGAGCGTCGGGGATCGCGGAACGATTCCTGGCCACCGTAAGCACAGGCCTGCGGACGCCGAGCATGGGTAGCTCGCCGCCCGACCAGAACCAGACCCAAGCGTACCTCAAAGAGCCATCAGACCACCACAGATGTCTGGGTCAGGATGACTGGATCAAAAAAGATTTTTGAAGTTTGAGCAATACAAAGTTTTAGTAACGGTAAAATGGGGTGAATAGGGATCGATATGTGAATTGATAGTACGTGCCTTAGGTTAGGGCCTAGTAGTAGGTGCGTAGAAGTGCTGGTCTGTATCCCAGTATACCCCAGAGCACCAAGCCTATACGCATTGTACGCTAGGCAATTATAGGATAGGATTTAGACTACATAGGTAATTAGGCTTAGGGGGTTAATTAGGGTTATTGGATAGTTTATTACAAGTGTCAGATTAGCTAGGATAGTGTAGGATAACGTTAGCTAGTAGTCATTAGGATTAGGTATTCCTGTACAGTAGGATTGTGGCGTAAGGCTACTATCCCGCTGTACAGATACTATGAAAAATTTCCCGATATCGATTTACCCCTCTTCTGTCTCTATTCACATATCGATCCCTATCCTCCCCATTGTACGGTACCTATTTGGTACCAGACATCAACAAATTGGTACCTCGCTGTAGAGGGAAAGCTATGGAAAAAAGGCCGTGATTTCTGCTCCATGTTTGGACATTACTAATATCGTTTACCTTACTGCGCATTCGCCGTTCGAAGTGAACAGACGTGCTTATTAAAATATTTATTTAATGAAATAATAGTGACCTATTTCATTTCTTTTAGCTTAAACTCTGAAACTAAGTATTTTAATATAGAAACAAACATACATCGGTTAAAAATGGATAAGAGCCCCAAAAACCTGGCTTCCTATACCTCAGCGATTAAAAGCAGCTTTTAATCTAGTAGTAGACTAGTCACTATCCAAGTTGTGTCAACGCCCGAAATACAAAAATGGATGGCATCAATCGAACAACAATTAAATGAAGTTTGCTCTATTGCTACGGAGGGAAAACTCAATTCAGAAGAAAAATTTAAAATCGCAAACCTATGCCGTAAAATTGGATCTAAAGCAAAACTCCCGGCTAGCTATTAACATCACTGATGACCTAAACGAGAAACGTGACCTGGCAGATCAAATTGCGGAGATCAAGACAACAATCAAGGACTCTACTGGAACGGGAAATAATAATACATTTGCAGACATGGTGAAAAAGGCCAAGAACTTCGTGCGTCCCAACAATTTGAGCTCTGTCGCTATTTACCCTGTGAACTCTCCAGTAAGATCAAGTGACGAAACCGAAACTCGAGTCCTGAAAATAATACGCCCTGATGAATGAATCCCAGCTCTGACGAACCTAAAAAACGTCAACCACGACTAACGGTTGTAGGAGTACCGAGCCTTATGTAGGATTCAAGTGCATTTATGAGCAGAACGTAGCTGACAAATTTTCAGAGATCTCTATGGAATCCTTTCTATAAGATGTCTAATTAAGCAATTTGACTTCGTAACCTGTCAGAGATTTTACGCTCGTCACCAGATGCTATAAATGCCAGCAATACGGTCAAGCAAAAAAACCTGCCGAGGTATTTTTATCGAGTGGTCATTGTGTGGAGGAGTAGGACACGCATTATGTGAGTGTAAGAAAACTACGGAGTCCTCTAACGTGGTGTCCTGCGTGAGCGACGAACTCGACGCGACGCGATCAATTCAACGGCATACCCTACATGCGGCCTATATATGACAGTCTGCGGCGAGACGCGACGTAACACACACTTGTTTTGAGGGCGACGAGATGCGACAACACGAACTATAACATTTTCAAGCAAAATTGTACTGTACTTCTCCATAATTCGAGAAGTAATGACCAAAATAACGTAGGACATATTTTGTCGCGTATAGCATCGCGTCGCATTACGTCGCGCCGTGTTGCGTCGCGTCGCGTTCGTCGCTCACGCAGGACACCGCGTAAGTGTGCAACTTGTACCGCTATAGCAAGCCGAATGAGCACCAAACGGGTGATGTTGAGTGCCCTGCTAGGAAGATAGCAGAGTAGAGATTCATCAAGTAAGTAGACTATGAAGGTGCATTAGTACATATATTACGTCGAGAGTTAGATATTGATTCACCTTCCTTTGCACAACAATTGCCCCCTCGCGACATACGAATAGTTTCTTACCCTCCGAGCAGGATCACTGCTCTCACGACTCCACTCTTGACCTGTTCCTTGTCATCATTCACTCCAGCCGGCCAATGAAGGCAAGCCGGAGTATAAATAACCGTGACTTCTCCCTGGAGCACCCGGGATGATGCGGGCTTATTATTGTTATTATTATCGTATCTCCTGTCTTTTCTACACTTAATATTGTAAAGCGGAAAGATTTAATTTTATGTTTGGTGTAATTGAATAGGCTCCGAAACTATCGGAGTGATTTGAAAATCGTAAAATCGTACGTACTTAGTTAAGTATGATTCGTTATTGGTTGTTAAAAAACACTTGGGTATTCGTGTTATCCATTTTCAGAGCTTATAAGTGATTCAAAATAAGCTTGCCCAATGCCCATTACTTTAAATGCTTCCAGCGACAACTGCACATATAGGCACTCGGTCCGAGGGCTGGCACCGAGGGCCTAGTGTTAGTTTGATTTATTACACGATGGACACGTTACCGCGTGGTCATATGATTGGTCGATTCACCTGGAGTAGGTGAATCAGAGCGCCAGACGTCATTACCATGTCGATTGCGTTAACGTAATATAAACTCGCACTAGGTACTCTGAGATAAAGGAAACATCGATTATACGTCGAATTAATAATAGCGAATACAATTTTGCAGTCACATAAAACACATTTTAAACTCTGCATAACATTGGATTATTCTTATCTATCTCGCTAACAATGAAAATAAGTCTTCATAAGTCTTATATAAGATCGACAAGTAAACGCTAAGTCCGGGCGATCACTAACTGGGCGCATAATGTACAGCGGCGGGCGGCACGCGGCGCGCCAGCCAGTCGGACGACGAGCGCAAGCCCGCGCTGGACGACGACGCCAGCGACTGCTCCGCGCCCGCCGCGCGCCTCGCCACCGAGGAGCTGCTGGCCGAGGCCGCCATGCGCAGCGCGCTGGCCGCGGAGAAACAGGCCGAGGCCGTGGCGCAGGCCGTGGAGCTGCTGCGCGACCTGCTGGCCCTGCTGCGCGAGCGCGCGCTGCCGCCGCCGCTGCTGTAGCTAGCGCAGGCCGGCCAGCGCCGCGGCGCGCTCGTACACGG